AAGGGAGGTTTAGGGTTTAGGGTGTTTAGGGTTTAGGGTTTAGGGTTTAGGGTGTTTAGGGTTTAGGGTTTAGGGTTTAGGGTTTAGGGTGTTTAGGGTTTAGGGTTTAGGGTTTAGGGGGTTTAGGACTTGGGGTGTCGAGGTTCCGGATTGAAGATTTAGGGGCTTAGGGTTTTTGGGGTTGAGGGCTCTATAATGTAAGGGCTCTAAGAGTGTTCTAGCCTAAGGCTTTCAAGGCTTATCATCTAGAGTTTTGGATGTTGGGGTCTGAAATTTCCGGTCCCTAAACCCCTGGTTTCGGGTTTAGGGAGCCCTCTCCTAAACCCTAAACTCTTCAGGGGTTTGGGTTTGAGGGTTTATTAGGGAGTCAGGCTCTTGGGTTTTGCTCCCCAGGGCCTCAGGATGAAAATAGGGGAAACCATACCTCCGAGTCGGAACCCCGAGTGAAACGCGTAATGGAATCCTATAAGGCCATGATGAAACCCGGTGATCAAGCCGTAACATACCCGATGGCCCAAAACCTATGCCCAAAAAAAGCCCTAAGCCCTAAACTCTAAACCCAAACTGCATCACCAAAACCCTAAACCCCCCACGAGACGGCGACGTCACTACAGCCGTAGCTGCCGAAGCCGTAAATCCTGAACACTCAAACCCCAATCGCAATTTTTTAAAGCTGTTTCTTGTTCATGATACGTACACGCACCGCATTTTCGTTGATGGCTATTTAAATTCATCTCATGACGAACTGTTCGCTGTCTACTTCAATACGTACCTTTTCAATCCTTTTCATATCTTTTCATATCCCTACCCATAGGCCCCATAGTAGTTCCTTTTTGGGATTACCTGAGAGGATTCTAAATATGAGCCCCAAAAAGGAACTACTATGGGGCCCATGGGTAAGCCGTAAACCCTTCTCTTGTCATTGAAGGCCAGGAACCCGAGGCCGGCGAACGCCCCTGGAGGGCCAGACCCGTCAGCATTCTGGGAGTGCCCAGGTCAACTTGCAGAAACTCACCTTTGGGGTTCGGATTTGGATATTGGGGTCCCTAAACCGTTCTCAAACCATTTGGGGGGCTATAGTAGCAGCAGGACGTCCCCACCCTAGGGGACATGTTGAGGAAACCCTGAACCCTCAACCTGAAGCCCGTGAGTTCGAACCTTATAGCGAACCCTGAGGGTTCATGGGCTTCCGTTCCGGGGTTTAGGATTTTAGGGTTTTAGGGTTTAGGGGTTCAGGGTTTAGGGTACCCAAGTAGTATATACCTTGGCCCCAAAATGCCTGTGTAGGGATTACTTTAAGGCCAAAGAGTATACTACTTGGGTAATATAGGGGCCTTAATAATTAGAATAGGGTTTGGGGGGTATATTCTACTATACTTATACTCAGAACCCCCCCCAAAAAAAAAAAACAAAAAAACGTTCTAATTATTACGGCCCCTACATTACCCTAAACCCTAAACCCCTATGGTACCCTTATAGAACCCTTAAAGGAATCCCCAAAACCCTGTACCCCAAAACCCTAAACCCTCGCATCCGTCTCGGCCTTTCTGGTCGGAGTTGGGAGTCCACCCGCCCAAGGCACAGCTGGCCTGCGCCGAGTGCTCTGCCCATAGGCCCTTTTGGGTTTAGGGTTTAGGATTTTAGGGTTTAGGGTTTAGGGTTTATGGTTTTAGGGTTTAGGGTTTAGTTCCTTTTTGGGATTCCCTAAGAGGATTCTAAATATGAACCCCCAAAAAGCAGGGTTTGGGGATTGAGGGTTTAGGGGTTACAGGGGTTTAGAGTGTCGGGGTTTATGGGTGAGGGGCTATACGGGTTCAAGGGTTTGGGGTTTGGGGTAGTTTCGGGGTCATAAGGGTGTATTCTTTCGGGAATCCCGAACTACCAGAAACGAATCCAACCTTGCGGCTCGACACTGCGTATCGCTTCGACAGTCCTCAAGCTTACCAAAGGGGCCTTAATAATTGAAATAGGGTTTGGGGGCCCATTATAGTACAACTATAATCAGGAACCCCCGAAATAGTATAGGCAACTATTAAGGCCCCCGTACTACTCCTGCAGATCAGACAGTAGTCTGCTTCTCTCAACCTTGGAAAGACGTGTAAGGACCCCACAGCAATAAAGTCGCTGAGTATTCAGCCTTCTATAGACATTCTGGTAACCCTAAACCCTAAACCCCAAACCCTAACCCTAAACCTCAAACCCTAAACCCGATAAGAGTCATAGATTAAATTTTTCGGCCGTGCCTTCTGCACACCGCCCAGGAGCCTCGCACATCCCAGAGCCTCGAAGTTGGAGCTGACCTGGCTGAGCCCCTCCCAACACTGCTTTGGGATTATACTATAGGAGCCTTGGTACTCGTATACTGTATACAACACTATATATTCAAAGGGTTCCAGGAAAAGTTCTGTAGGGGCTATTACAATGGGGTAGATTTTAAGCAGATTGTAGTGAAGAGGCCTAAGGAGACTAAATCTTCAGGTAGCAAGCTACATTCGTGTGCTAAGGGATAAAAGCCTCGATGACAGAAGCTCAACGTCACCTTAAAAGAAACGAGGCCTGCGCTCGAATTCTGCAGCTGCAGAGATTTACTCAAGGCTTCGTGTACAGGTGCCCATGGCATGTGCATTTACTTATGCATATCTATTCATGTACATGGAGGCGTATGAGCATGCGCATGAATGCAAGCAGACATGCATTCCTGTGATTTCGATGTGCACGTCTCACTGTTGTTGCACATGCGTTCAAGTATGTAGAAATTGAGTCGTTAACAGACACGAGCAGAGAATCTAGATGTCTGTAAGGTCTTCAGCGGCTTAGAGTTGAGATCTACGAGCACGGACAAGTGCATGTACGACAACGTACGAACATGCACACATAGACCAAGCCATGCCTACAACCCCACCCCTAGAAACCCTAAACCCTAAATCCTGAGCCCTAAACCTTGAATCCTAAACCCTAAACCCTGAACCTTAAACCTTGAACCCTAAGCCCCAAACGTCGAACCTTCAGCCCTAAATCCCAAACCTTGAACCCTAAACCCCAAACCCTAAACCTCGAACCCTCAGCCCTAAATCCCAAACCTTGAACCCTAAACCCCAAACCTAAACCCTAAACCCTCAGCCCTACATCCCAAACCTTGGACCCTAAACCGCAAACCGAAACCCTATCAAGCTCCAAACTCCGCCTGGAGCTGCTCCGACTTCAACTCCTCAGCCGCCAGGCCCAAGGGCGCTGCGCGCGCTGCACAGGCCTCTCATGCAACGAAGCGAAAACAGAAACACATAGGTTTAGGGTTTAGGGTTTAGGGTTTAGGGTTTAGGGACATAAGTCCATAAGCAAATAAGCAACTAGCTGAGTAGAAACATGAGACATACAGACAGACAGACAAAGTGTGCCATTGTACACAGCTAGATATTGTCTGTCTTTCGGTCTGTCTGTCTCTCTGTGTGTCTCAGGGTGACCAGGCCACGCCCCCTGCGGAAGGAGAAGACAGACCACCTTACGACTTTACTCACTACCCATCGACCCTAAAGTAGTTCCTTTTGGGGGGTCATATTTAGAATCCTCTTAGGGAATCCCAAAAAGGAACTACTTATGGGGCCTGTGGATAGATGCAGCCGAAGCCAGGGTGAAAACGGCCTTTAGACCTCAATACCATGGTGATGGGCGCAGAACTGGCTTTGAGTAGGGTATACCCACAGGCCCAAAAGTAGTTCCTTTTTGGGAGTACCTTGTAGGAGTCTAAATATGAACCGCAAAAAGGAACTACTATGGGGCCTATGGGTAGGGTTTAGGGTAAAGTTTGGGGATTGCTGTTCAGCGATTAAAGGGTTTAGGATTGTGATCAGGATTTAAAAGGGTTTAGCGGCTCATCCCTGTCGTCGAAAGTCGAAATGGTTGATCGCTTGCTGTTCTAACTACCCTGTGCATCGAAATCCAAACCAGGTTTGGAGAGCCCCCCTGCGGCTCTGCTTCGCAGCCACGAGTTAGACCACCCTATACACCCTATATACAGCCTATAAGCCCTACAAAAACCAAACTCTGGGGTCTAAAAAGCTCCGAACCCTATTACTAAGCTTTAACCAAAACTTCCATAGACCCTAAACTTCCCGAAACCCTCTACGTAACCCTAAGCCCCCAAGCCCTAAACTTCCCCGATTCACCCCTGTAACCCTAACCCTGAACCCCTCCTTTCCTCAAGCTCCCACCTGGGAGGAGTTTCCGAAAATTAGGGTACCTTATGTTGGGGTCCTTTTCATCAGGCTCCTACTATTTAGGGTGCTATATTGGGGTCCCCTATTTTCTGAACCCTCCTTCCCTAACCCTGAACCCTAAATCCTAAACCCAAAGCCCTAAACCCTAAACCCCCTCTAACCCTGAACCCCTCCTTTCCTCAAGCTCCCACCGCGCCTCCGGACCAGGGCCCCCGCTCGTCTCCGCGGAGAGCTCGGCGGCAACCTCCTGGCATCAAAACCGCAAGGGGCCCTGAAAGCTTGGGGGTTCCTTTGAGGGTTCCCGTTTAGGGGTCTATAGGGCTTAGGGAGCTTAGGGTTCCTTTGAAGGTTCCCGTTTAAGGGTCTATAGGGCTTAGGGTTTTGTTTAGGGTTTCCTGTGACGGTGTCCACTTAAGGGGTTAGGGTTTAGTTCAGGGTTCCCGTGAAAGTTCCCATTCAATGGTTTAGGGTGTAGGGTCTTGTTCAGGGTTGCCCTTTGAAGGTTCTCTTAAAGGTAGGTTAGGGTTACAGGGGCCAGAGGAACCCTGAAAGTCTAGGGAGTACTATAAGGGTTTAGAAGTTTTTTGGCTTGGGGGATTATGGTTTAGGGATTGGGATTTAGGGTTTAGCCTTCAGGGTTTAGAGCTATGCTTAGAGCCCTAAACCCTGAACCCTCCCTAAATCCTAATCCGGGCGTAGGCACGAAGCTGGTGGTCTTCGGGCTTCGTTTGTTCTTGACGGGCAGGGGGCTTTCTGGGAGGTTCAACAGCGATCGCTTCCTTGCAAATGCCACATATAGAGGCCCCTACATTAGAAGACTTACGGTTTATTGGTGCTTTGGGAGCATGTCCTCCAGGAGTTTGGCTCCGTGATCACCCAGCTGAGATGTCTGCAGAAAGCCCTGTAGCTTCCTCGGCGCTCCGGTTGTCGGATCCGTGCTTCGGGTTTAGGGCTGAATATAGCTAGGGGTGTGATATAGGCTCGCTGGGAGTTCAACGACGTACTCCGTAGCAACATCTCAATTGGCGGGAGCAGACTCTTAGAATCCCCGACCCGCAAGGAAGCCATCTGCGTCGAATCGTTGGACACGTCCTTTGAATGTCGAATTCCCGAGCAATGTCATTCGGGCTCAACTTATAGATGGGTGGCTTTGCTTTTCCTGAAGGAGGCTTTAAGTGTTTTAAGTGCTAGCACTGACGAACGCCGGGCATCTCCAGGCAGTGGCCAAGGTTTCCTGAGTGGCGATTATGAAAGGCAGCCGGCTTTAGATAGCTTGAGAAAGTGCCTCGACGGTTCCGCTGTCCAGATGCTGTTAAAGATTAGCTGTTGGATGATCCGGAGGGGTTGGGTGACTCGGGCCCGCGGAGATCTTCAACCACAAAGCCCTCAGGCCCAAACTCCTGCTCCTGCTGCTGCTGCTGCTGCTAGTCGTAGTAGTAGTAGTAGTAGTAGTAGTAGTAGTAGTAGGTAGTAGTTAGTAGT